GCATGTTCAGCTACTGCTGATTTTTCTGGTTGCTGTAGTCTGCAGTGTCTTTTGTGTTCTTTTATCCTGGTATGGATGCTGCGTTTTGTGGTCCCGATGTATATTTGTCCGCAGCTGCATGGTATATGGTATACTCCTGCAGCGGTGAGGGGATCCCTTTTGTCTTTTGCTGATGTTAGCCTCCACAGGTCGCACCTGCCTAACCTTGTCCAGGCTCAGATTGGTTAGTACTTTTTTGGTTACCACCAGGAAAGCTCACTGTTCTAGGCCAGACTAGGAAGAATCCCTACTAAGGGATTCCACCTACCAGGGAAATTCCAACTTTGGGCATTCTTGGTAGTTCTCTTACCATGGAACAGGTTGCCTCTTGGGGCAACATTGGTTCCTGCTTTCATGGCCTTCCCAAGGCAGGTGAAAAAAGGTCTTTAGAGACTGAGTGTGGAACCAAAAGTGCCTATTTGTATTTTTATATAAATTATAATTAATAATATATTTTATATAAATATTTATATTTTGTGTGTATGCCCACGCATGAATCTATAAAGCCCTTTATGGTTGGGGCTGGGTTATCGCTTGGATACTTATCCCTCCCTCCTCCAACATCAGGTTAGGCAATGAAAGGGCTCCAGTTTTCATTTGGAAGAGTATGGGCTTCTGTACTCCAGGCTGTGCAGCAGGGGTTACTCCTGCCTGTGAGCGGTTGTTGGGTGGAACTCCTTTTGTTTTGCACCCGCTCTCCAAATGGCTGCCTGGTGATGCAGTCCGGCAGCAAGACACCGCTCTCCCAGAAAGGGGGGCTGCCCCCACTGCCCCTCCGGTCTGCCCCGCTGGCTTCGTCTTCCCTCTGGGGAGCGGGAGGCAGCGCCCGACCGCGTTCACTTGCTAAGAACGGCTGCTGCGAAGGAAGGGGAAGCGGCTGGAGAGTTGCTGAGAGTCGAGCCCGGCTTGGTGCTTTGCAAAAGGCTTGGAGCGATGCGCCTGTTCTGGAAAGCATTCGACGGGTGGGGCACCTTCTCCTGGGGGTGCTGCCTGTGCCTCTGCGGCGGAACGCCGGGCTGGAAGTGGAGAAGAGACCTCCTGCCGCAGAGTCTTCGGGCCGGTTGACAGACGGCGCCGCGGGGCCCGCTTCAGCC